TTTTCTGGTGTCTTCTGCCAAAGAGGAAGAGCCCTGTCTTCCAAAGGAGGTGCTTCGGGGAAGGACAGCTTCAACTGGGGATAGCTCAACACTCTCTGACTTAAAACCCAACATGCATAGATCCCAGCAAGCTGCGGACTTGGTTCCCAGGCATGAGAAACCAAAGAAATTCCCTTACAGTATAGTTTAGTAGCCGCCTACATCCTGCTACAAAACCTGCCTCCCCTAGGAGTGGACCACGCCCAGGGCACAGGGTCACCTCCTCACAGGCCTGGCTTCCTCTCTCACCTTCAGCTGTACGGCCCCATCCAGTCACCCAGCACTGTGTATCAGCTTCTACGTGGAAGAATTTGCTGGGGAGGCACACGGGCTGGACGTGGGTGGAGTAGTTCACAGGGAAGGACAGCAGCACCAGGGCGATGTCATTGAAGAGTACTCCAAGGTGCAGATATTCTTGGTGGATAACGATGTCTTTGACTGGGACTTTTAGTCCTCTTGGGGATTGGTGCTGCAGGCTCGTGTCTCCTAGCATCACCGTGTAGTCGTGAAAGCTGTGGAGAGAGCCTGAGGTCTACACAGCTCTCTGCCGCCCTTCCAGGTGCCACCACCCTGGCCCCTCAGTCACCAGCCTCTTCATCTCCTGGGCCCACACAAAGGCTGATGGTTGTCCTAGAACATGTTAGAAATGCAAATCCTAGGGGCCGGGGAGATGGCTCAGTAGAATCAGCACTTCCCTGGCAAGTGCAAAAAGCCTGAGTTCAATTCCTGGTACCGCCAAAAAAAAAAAAAGAAAGAAATTCAAATCCTCAGGGATCACCCTACCTGGGACTGTCACCAAATCCACGTGATGAGGAAGATGAACCTCTGCAACATATGGGTCTGGCCCAGGGCCCCTAAAAACTCACTCGGATATGCAGTGGGCTGCGGTCATCACCCACCAGCTGCTGATGAGGGTGCCCCCACACACGTGTCTGCCCTGGACCTGCAGGCTGACCTGCCAGGGCCACTTCCGCTCTGGTGCTGGCTGTCCCCCGATTATCCTCCGCTGGCCACAGCCTGCAGCAGGACAGTGAGGGAAAGGGTTCAAGGCCCAGCCCCACAATGTCCCCTTTTGGAGGCCCAGGCGCCTCTGTGTCCCTAAGACAGCCCCCGCACGCCGACATCAGCGCCCACCCCGGCCCATCCTCCCTGAGCTGCGCTCTCCCACAAGCCCCCTCTAGAGCACAGACAGGGAGCTCACCTCTGGGAAGGACCTCTGGTTTCTGGGTAGCTTCTTCCATGAGGGTCTCGGACTTAGGGGAAGGGGGACCACGTGCGGAGGGCGGCGTCACTGCATCCCCGGGGTCCGCGCCAAGCTGGGGCCAGAGAAGCAGCAGCCAGAGGAGCAGGCGCAGGGAGCCGGCCATCCGGGACGCCATGGCAACTCAGAGCCTCGTGTCGCCCCCTCGTGGTGGCCGGTCCTCACCTGCGTTTGGATGAAGCAGGAAAGGGCACGCGGGAAGCCACAGCGCCCCCTAGGGGAGGGCCCGGTGCTCCTCGTGCGCAGCTCCCAGGTCTCCAGCCGCAGCCTCATTCTCGGCGTATCCCTGCAGACTGAGTCACATTGCACGCAGGCAGGTTCACTTATGTCAGGAACCACGTTCTACCATCTCCTGTGTACTTGAAGAAATGACCCAACCCAAACATCCCCAGGAGCGGCCTGGCTCTGATTGCACAGATCTCTCCCAAAAGCTTCCTCTCCTACATAGCCGGCTGTCAGCCCTGCTTTCTGGGTATTGATACATGTGCAGGAACATCTAGTCAGCACTGCAGGCCACAGGGCTACTCAGCACTCTGCAGGCTGAGGCAGGAGGATCCTAAGTTCAGGCCTAGCCCGGGCATCCGGGTTTTAAGGACACCCTGTTTCAACAGAGAAATATCTCTAAAGGGCTGGAGAGGTACTTCAGTGCAAAGGCTCTGGGTTCCACCCTTAGTCTTACAAGGGGAAAGAAAAAGAAGCAAACCAACATTCAAGGCTACAAATTCAACATACACCAGGACATAAGAGGCTCCGAAGTCCGCACGGCCCTCACAGACCCTGTGGTCAGCAGAGACACCAAGAGCCCAGAGGCCAGAGACAGGAAGGCGAACTTCAAACCACTGAGGCAGGGGAGTGATCTGCCCGGCCCTACAGCCACCCAGGCACTTTCTCAGCTGGCCCTGGGCAAATCCTGAGTGGTGGGGACAAACCGCACTAGTACAACTGAGTGAGCTCCGTGAGTGAGGGACAGTCACGCCCTGCAGTGCGCAGGCTTCACGTGGGAGTGAGGGTTGGGTGAGGGAGAGCTGAGGGAGAGCAGGGTGCAGGCAGGCTGAGCGCCCCCTCTTCAGCCCTGACGCAGGGACCCCAAGTCCCCTCCTTCCCAGCCTGGGACTGCTGTGCCATGCTCCAGCCTACAGAGCCCTCCTCCTGGGCCACCGTGAGCCTGCCTGCCCGGGACATGGCTGGACTGCATGAACAGTCAAACCTTGGGAGGCAAAGGCGGGAGAATCACAAGTTCACAGCCAGCTGGGCCACTTGGACTTAGTGGGACATTGTCTTAAAGTTAGAAGTAAAAATAAAAGCAGAACAGAGGAGGTCAGTGAGACAGAAGGCTTTCAGTTTCACCTCTAGTCCCACCACTGCCCCCAACAAAAAG